GGAATCCAATATGCATATTCATCAGACAACAAACAAATTTTACTAAGCCAGCAACACTGGAGGACAGCTGGAAAGTTTACACACTACTAGCAGTTATGACTAAAGTGTTTTCTTGATATTAAGGACAAACATATTCCAGTTGTAAGCATAAAGAACGAACTATGATGCTCTGGATGAAGTATTTAGCTCCGCGCAGTGGCTGTTTGAGGTTGTTCTGACTGCAACTGCTTCCCAAGGTATTCCCTGAAATACAAGAAAAAAAAAGTTAGACTGAGGAAAGTTCTAGTAGATGGGGAATAGGATGGTGAAAGGAAGTATGAAGCAGAGAAAGAAGAAAAATACATTAACATTTAAACCTGATCCCTTGAGTACCGAGTATTGATGTTCAACAGTCAACTGGAGCGAATGTGAGAGTACCTAAACTTTAGGCTCCTGTCACGTAATCCTCTGAAAATGAGCTACGAGTTGAATGTGAACATAAAAATACCTAGAGAGAGAGGGAGGGGAAAAAAAAAAAAAAAAAGGTAGCCCATTGGTAGCATCAAGGAGTCCTGGCTACTTTTAGAGAACACCTTTGAAGTCCATACACTTTTCTTGCTGAATGCACATAGGAAAGGCTACTGAAAAGCATTTAAAGGATTTCTTCTCAGCTGCATGAACACCTGTCCTATAGTGATGCAGATGGACATACAGGCAGCTTAACCCTCAGGCTAGCAAAGTCTTCCTCCAGCTAAAGAGATATTGACTAAAGAACTATCAAGCCAGGCCCATTGTATACTAAGATTTTTCTTTTCTTCAGATGTGTTTTTGAAATTTATCGAATCACGTTTATATCTGTCCTTTCAAAATTGGAAATACACCAAATTCCGAGCATCTGAGATGAACCATCCTCAAGCAACAATGCGAGTTCTAAGAAAAACACACTGCACAATTCTTGAGTGTTCCCATATTCCACTGTCTCCTGTGAAATTCAAGGAGCTCAATGCTTCACTGAGCCAAAGAAAAATGAAGGACTTAATAGCTGACTGGATACATATCACAGAAAATAAATTTTAATAATTACACTACTGTGTTGACTGAAGCAGATGTTTAAGCACCTGAAATGCAAGTTTTTCCACTTGCTTATGGCACACTTGGCATCTGTTTTTCTCAGTAGACAAGTGTTACAAGCCACTGCACTGTTTAAACATTAGATCATGATGTTTAAGTATTTCAACATCAGTTCAGAAGTGACATTCATAATCAAGTTTTAAAAACTTCAAGAATATACACTTTTTCCTTTATTAAAATCCTTCACACCAAAAGAAACAATTATTTCTTACAGTACCTTTCAAGTATAATTGGCTTCCAGCTT